GATAATAAATATACAGCATAAGAAACAATACTGAGTCTCCAGTTGTCCTCCAAAGTGTGTTAAATGTACAGTAAATGTTCAGTCTGGTTTTTGAAGGGTTCTGCCTATCGTGTGTCATTGTAGTATTTTTATCTTAATTCAGTCGAGCGACGCTGTGATCTGTTTGTCTGCTGTGTGGAAATGTGCTGCGACTGCAGATTTAGATTCAGGCTGCTCTGCCTCTTCCCCCCGCTCTGTCTCAGGGCTGGATGAATGAGATCCACAGCTACGACCCAGAGATGTACCACGCCACCCTGACCCACTCTGTTTACGTCCGACTGGAGGGCTCCGTCCTGCGGCTGTCCAAACCCAACCGGAACATCTCCCGCCGTGCCGCACACAATGAGCCGAAACCCGACGTCACGTACATCAGCCAGAAGATCTACGATCTGACTGACAGCAAGGTGGGCCGCTGGTGGAGGCTGGCTGGTTGTGAGAGGACAGATTTTCTGATACACGTCAGACAGCGAGTGAGGAGATGAGTGGGACGTCAGCGTGTTCAGTGTGTGTGTGTGTGTGTGTGTGTGTGTGTGTGTGTGTGTGTGTGTGTGTGCTTGATAATAAGCTTAACAGATAGTGACATCAAGCACACGTCCCCTTACATTTGCCTTTGCCTGAGTGCATGCTCGCTAATAGGTCATGTTCAGTGACAAAGCTACTCATTTTCAGAGTCACATACTGTGTGTAAACATGAAGTGAGCATCACAGGCCACTGACCTTGTATGCACAGCTGTGCATCAGTGTGCTGACTCAACAGTTTTGCATATCTGAAGGCTGGACAGTAGGAGGGCAGGTCTTGTGTCCATGAATCTGGGAGCAGAGGTTTCATCAGCTCCCCTACTCTCCATTCCCTGTTAGGTATTGTGGAGCTCAGTCTGACGTTAAATGCTTCGATAGAAGCTGGATTTTTTCAGAGATAAGCACATGAGTGCAGTTTGTGCTCATGGCCAGGGCCTGACTGGTTTGACTTCGCCCCGTAGCTCCACAGCTCTACGAGCTTCAGCTGCAGCAGAGCATGCGATGCTGACATCTGTGTCGGTGACGTGTTCAGCTGGCTCAAGAATTAATGCTTCAACTAAATACGGAAACAAGATTGCAAAGCTTCTCGCATTGTGAACAAAACAGACACATTTTTAGGATGTTGTTGTTCAAAGGAAGGGTTAGAAGATTCAAGATTGAAGATTCAAGGTCTTTATTTGTCACAAACACAGTCATACACGGTGAAATGCTTTGCGTACCTGTTGCACACGAAACAATATTTAGCTGAATAAAAATAAGAATAAACACACAAGAAATAAATATACATATACATATATATATAGGGAGAGAGAGAAAAAGGGGATAAAAAAATAAGCAAAATAAATAAATCTACTTTTCAAACAGTGCAAAAGGAGATGGAATAAATAAATTAAATGATACTATATACATGTGTATATATGCAAAGTGCAACGTGAGCGGTTGAGCTGTCTATTGAGTTTATAAAAAATATAATAAAACATAAACATGAGTCATCCTGCCTGTATTCTCTGGTTTTGCTCATGTTTTCCAAACTTTTCAAGCTCCCAGTTGCTGACAGTCACACCCCACCCAAGGCTAATTTGCCACATCAGTGTATCTGTGAACAACATTACTATGGGACTGTTTGGTGGTGCTTTCTGCTGTGCCAAGACAACAAAATGGATCGCTCATCATCATCATCTTGTGGTAATTTTTTCTAACTGGGTCTCCATATTCCACAGATTTACTTGATGCCCCAGAGCCTGGCGAGGAAGAGAGTTTGGAACAAGAAGTACCCCATCTGCATCGAGCTGGCCAAGCAGGAGGACTTCATGTCCAAGGCCCAGGGAGACAGGCCTGAAGCTGGGGAGGACAAACTACCAGGACTGAGTGAGAAGTTAGAACGAACTGAGAAGGGAGAGAAAGCTGAAGGATGCGCTTTAGTAGAGGAGCCCAAAAGACCAGCGTCTGGAGGAGGAGACCTGACAATCTACCTGTTTGGGAGGACGGGTCGGGAGAAGGAGGAGTGGTTCCGGAGATTTCTTCTGGCGTCCAGGATGAAGTCGGAAGGAAGAAGTGGAAGTCTGGCTGGAATCTGCAAGAGTGGTGAGCTGCACACTGTCACGGGCACCGAGGTGCAAACACACTCATGTGGAGTTGTGACCGCCTGTCCACACACACACTGTTTTTGCAGACTCACATCTCTCCCCGCTGTCAGAATATCCATTCTCTTGAGTACATAACTGCGCCGCAATCAGATCTGTGTATAAGCCGCAGCTTAGGGACTGCCAATCCCCTCAACTGAGTGAACAGATGAGTGTGAATGGGTCAGCAGGATTACATGCACAGAGAAGCAGCATATTACAGCGCTGGTTTCCACTGTGGGATAAAAGCCTGTAAGGATAAGGCCCTATACAAAGAGAATCACTAGCATTGTGCGGGTCCAGCGATAAAGGCAGCGCAGGGTGGACAGGATTACCACGGAGACGGTTTAAATATCAGCCTGTTTTGTGGATATACATAACAATTATGTTGAGAGTGACTATTTCAGTGGTAATAGGAGGCACAGAGAGGATGAGTGTGTGTCACGTTATATAAAGAATGCTAATTCAGAGTGCCGCAGTAAGCTGGGAGACAGGAGGACAAAAGAGACGCTAACTATGCCAGGGTAGCCAAGTTTTGAGTGTGCATATGAAAGCATGTATTGATTGGAATCCCTGAAAACGCTGTTGATGCTTAATTGTGTTCCAACACCCCCCTCCTCTCACTCTCCACATCCCGTCCACTTGTAGCCTTCCTGCCCTCCCACAGCCGCAGTAGCAGCCTCCAGTCCGGTGGAGGCCTGGAGGCTGACAGCCGGAGCAGCAGCCGGGGAAGCCTGGAGGAGCTGCCTCAGTCCCAGCCGAGGCCCAGAGACGCCTCCGCCGCTCCGTCCTGTTGCTCCGCCGCGGGGACCAAGCAGAAGATGCTGCTGGACTACAACGTCTACATGGCCAAATATGTGAACCCCCAGGCGCCCCCGAGAAGCCCAACTGCCACCGACAGCCCCGGACACAGCCCGGACAGCAGCCCCAAAGCTACCAAAAAGGTACGACAGATGTGTGAAAAGAAGCAGAGTGCCCTAGAGGTTACCCAGAAGCCCCTGGGGTCTGCTTCTCTACGTCCACATGAACATGCTTTCATTGTAAAACACCTCAGTTCAGATGACAGTTTCAGAAATGATCTCCGTCCATGCTAGCACGCCAGCAAATGCTCATCATGTCCATTCATTTACACTGGATCTGGTGTAGAAGCAGAGGGTTGGTTAGTTAGTCGAGCCGCTTAAACCAGAGATTTGCTTGCTTGAACTGTGACTGAATTGAAAAACACAAGCTCATGTCTTTGTTGTCATCCAGAAAAGATTAACAAGATATAATGAATAAAAAATCAGACAAGGACACGCAGTAAATAGCAAGAGCCAATCATGAAGCCAACGTGGGTGTCTGCATCATTGTCTCCTGAAATCTCCGTTTCTTTCCATCCAGACTAAATGCAACCAAACTAAACAGGGCTCAGCAGCGTCTCCACTTTATGTTGTGGAAACAGCAAAAGTTACAGCTTTGAAGCTGATTAATGTGGATGTAGCCTTAAACACAGTACAAACTAAACCAGTCCATGTTCGCTCAAAGGTTCACTGTAGAGTTTTCAATCATCAGCAGCAGCATGAAGCAGTGGGATTGAGATCAACTCCTGCTTTTGATGATGACAGCTGATGCACAAACAGAGCTATCTGGTCTCAATAATGACGCCTAAATCACACAACTTTTTATTTCCAACTGGTGTTGACGTGTATTTTTCTAATTTTCATTCAGAAGGAGAAGGACTGCCGTGAACTGGTGTCGTTCATCTCTACAACAGAACACATAGGGTCCAATAATAATACCTCCAGACTGTAACAAGCATTTACTATGCCTCATCTGCAGCATTCATCTGGTCTCGTTTTGCAGTAGCCAGCATTTCTGGCCATTCTGACCCACAATCCTTTGCAGAAAACACACCACATACATCACAGCGTCTCACACGAGCGTAGACAAGCTCGAGCCGAGACACACAGATGACAGCTGATTTCGCACCACAGACGACGGTGGATGTATCGGCAAGATGGTCAGAGCCAAAGGTGCAATATTATGATGAATTATCATGTCCTGTGTGTGTACATACAGCACGCAACAGTACTAACAGAACACTAACTAACAGTCCATGCTTTAGAGGGGCAGCTGCAGGATAAACTGGATGTGAAAAGAAAAGGTGTGTGATCTGGAATGTAGCCGCAGTGTATCACCTGTAGAACTTCCAGAAAGTGTCAGCGTTCAGTTTGCTGGGTGGTTTATTCTCTGAAGAATGGGTCAGACTGCACAAGTTGCATTTACACTTCGCCTTAACATACGAAGCGTTTTAATGGCAGGTGCATAGAGGGTCAATGTTAGACCTCGATGAAACATCGAGCGCATTTTGGTAAGAAAAATTCAGAGGTTAGTTTTAAAGGTCACATGTTATACCCATTTTCTACAAGTTATGT